TTAACAGCTTTGTCCTTCCTTGGGCTTTTAGCTTAATGGACCAAGCACGGGCCGGTTCTCAAACTTGCCCACCACGGCATTTTAAATCTTGCGGGTGACGTGCCGCCGACTAGGATCCCAATTAGGCGATATGAGAAAAATCAGGCACTGGACGGCTCGGACGGAACTAATCCGGACCGTCGACATAAATCAATCCAACGGCTGTAACAGAAAACCTAATTCGACCCAAGGCTTTAGGTCTTGACCCTGAGCCTACTTAAACCGAAGTAAGAGGCTCCCTTCATCCTCCTCTTTCACTCTCTGCCCTTTGGATACTTCGACTGCGGGAGAGCACACCTCACTCACAACAACCAGAGCTCCCGTCTTCGTTCCAGGTTCGATTCCTTCTCCCTTTAGCTCCTCGTCTTTCTTTGCATGATTTTTCTTATCGCAATTCTTGTTCTGTGTTAAATCTGTTAGCTGCTAGATTTCTCTGCAATTTTTCTGTTTCTCGGTACGTTTTCGTCCGTTAAGGTATCTCGTAATTCGGATCTCTACCTGTGCCGGTGGATTTAGGGTTTAGATCTGATTGTATGTTTCTCTTTTATGTACAGAGGTGCAATTATGTCAAATTCGTTTGTCAAAGTTTGTGTATGAGTTAGATGTTTCTTTCTGGTTGATGAATCTCTGGTTTTAAACCTAATAAACTCTATTATCGGTGTGCTTGAATCCAAATCTTGCACCATCTTCGGCAGTGGTTTTGAAGGAGATGCGTGGATTGGATTTGCACACGGTTTTTTATGAGTCTATTCAGTGGCTGTAGTTTATTGGTAAACCCCACACCTCGTTGTGGAGACCTGGGCTCGAATCCCAGCAGCCACCTTGTTTATCAAATCTGTGTGTATGAATTGGAACCTACTTTCAATAATTAAGGATCTATTGGACTGAATTTTTGCTACACATAATCAATATATTCGCTGGAAGTGATGCTTTAGTGTATGCTTGTTCTTATAGATGGTTGATGATTCAGTTTGTATCTTGGATCCTGTTCTGCAATTTGATTGATTTAGTATGCATATCCATAGTCAATATATTCGCTGGAAGTGATGCTTTAGTATGCTTGTTCTTATTGATGGTCGATGATTCAGTCTGTTGTAGCCTTATCTGTTTTTGCTTTTGATTGATTTCAGCTTCTTTACCAAACTTCAGGATGGGTAAGGAAAAGGTTCACATTAATATCGTTGTCATTGGTCATGTCGACTCTGGGAAATCGACAACCACTGGTCACTTGATCTACAAGCTTGGAGGTATTGACAAGCGTGTGATCGAGAGGTTCGAGAAGGAAGCTGCTGAGATGAACAAGAGGTCATTCAAGTACGCCTGGGTGCTGGACAAGCTCAAGGCTGAGCGTGAGCGTGGTATCACCATTGATATTGCTCTCTGGAAGTTTGAGACCACCAAGTACTACTGCACAGTGATTGATGCCCCCGGACATCGTGATTTCATTAAGAACATGATTACTGGTACCTCCCAGGCGGATTGTGCTGTCCTCATCATTGACTCCACCACTGGTGGTTTTGAAGCTGGTATCTCAAAGGATGGCCAGACCCGTGAGCATGCTCTTCTTGCTTTCACCCTTGGTGTCAAGCAAATGATCTGCTGCTGCAACAAGGTAACAGATCAATTAGTTGTTTGAATACATGACTTGATGTGTCAATTGTGGTTGAAGATTCCTAATGAATTTGTTGTGTTTTGTAGATGGATGCCACCACCCCCAAGTACTCAAAGGCCAGGTACGATGAAATTGTGAAGGAAGTTTCTTCCTACTTGAAGAAGGTTGGGTACAACCCTGACAAGGTCCCATTCGTTCCAATCTCTGGGTTTGAGGGCGACAACATGATTGAGAGGTCCACCAACCTTGACTGGTACAAGGGCCCAACTCTTCTTGATGCTCTTGACAACATCAACGAGCCCAAGAGGCCCACAGACAAGCCCCTCCGTCTCCCACTTCAGGATGTGTACAAGATTGGTGGCATTGGAACTGTGCCAGTGGGCAGGGTTGAGACTGGTGTCATCAAGCCCGGTATGGTCGTCACTTTCGGTCCAACTGGTCTGACCACTGAGGTCAAGTCTGTTGAGATGCACCATGAAGCTCTCCAGGAGGCACTCCCTGGTGACAATGTTGGCTTCAACGTGAAGAATGTTGCAGTGAAGGATCTCAAGCGTGGGTTCGTTGCCTCCAACTCCAAGGACGACCCTGCCAAGGAAGCTGCCAACTTCACCTCCCAGGTGATCATCATGAACCACCCTGGCCAGATTGGAAACGGATATGCCCCAGTGCTGGATTGCCACACCTCCCACATTGCTGTCAAGTTCTCTGAGATCTTGACCAAGATTGACAGGCGATCTGGCAAGGAGATCGAGAAGGAGCCCAAGTTTTTGAAGAACGGTGATGCTGGGTTCGTGAAGATGATTCCCACCAAGCCCATGGTTGTGGAGACCTTCTCCGAGTACCCACCTCTTGGGAGGTTTGCCGTGAGGGACATGAGGCAGACTGTTGCCGTTGGTGTCATCAAGGCTGTGGAGAAGAAGGATCCAACTGGCGCCAAGGTCACCAAGGCTGCTGCCAAGAAGAAGTGAGGGGGTGTTTGCTGTGTTGCAGTTTTCTTAGTAAAGTACTCTGTTTCTGTTATGTTTCTAGACAAGCTGATTTCGTTTTCAATTGGATGTTAAGCAGTTTTGCGAACGAGTTATGTGTTCGGATTATGGTTTTGTTTTAATTGAGGCATTTTCGGATCTCAATTGTGATGGCTTCCAGATTTGTGATGATATGATGTGCTAGTAGCTTCGCTAGATGTTTATACAATTATAGCAGGTGTGTTGATTTGATTACTGATCAAATACCCACATTCCACACCAATGCTTTGCTGCTGAAGCATGTGGAGCAGTGGGGTCGGTTGAGGTTTCTTGGTAATACTCCTCGAAGAATTTGTAATTCCCATAATACCAATTATCTAATTTTTCTCTACCTGAATTTTGCTCATTTCCCTCTTCTTTTTTTCTCCTGCTCGACATTCTTCAACTCTCTCTTGCCCTAATTTTTTACAAACTTAAAAGCCCTTGCAAAAGAAATATCCCTTTGCAACGTTTCGATTTGAGCTATCGTAAATTGGATGGTTTGACTGCTTGATTGGAATCCAATTCTTTTGATTCCCAGTATTGGGTAAAGTTAACTTAGATGCAATGTTGTCGGAACCGAACCGGAGCATGACCCGGTAATGCGAACAGCTCGCATTTTAGTGGTCCAACCGACATTAGATCGTTTAAAAACCGTTAGAGAACCTGTACCTGATAAAAATTATTAGTATAAATAGTGGACATTTCTTAATCAGAGCTCATCTCTTTCCTTCGAAATTGTGAAATGGAAATAATGATTCAGTTTGAGAGCCCGACGTTTTTGGTTTATTTCAATTTTCAATTTTCTGCAATTTTTTTAATTAAATTTAGTGGTTGAATGGCAAAAACCGGACGAGCGGCTCGATTGGCTCGAAAGGTTAGCCGCCTCGGCCGCTCGCCAACCGCTACATAAAACCGGAGCGGCTTTTAGACTATTTCGAGCCGGTTTGGTGACCGGGTGGCGGTTTTACCGATCGGGCCAAGCGGCTCGGTTCGACTTTAATAACACTGCTTAGATGTATATTTAAAATTGTGAAATTGCTTGTTTCATATACAGCAAGGGTCCATCTTTTTTTTTTTTAATGTGCCAAAGGATCTCTCTACATCTTTGTGGTAAGCCTCTTGGTAGTACTAATTCTTTTTCTTGTTACTTGAATTGCCAATAGTCTTTACAATTGTAGCCCACTCAGGATAAGTTCTATCATCCAAATAATATCATTTACCGTATGTCTTACCATTTTCCTCAACTCACATTGGGACCGTTCTCGTAGGATTTGATCGAATATTGGGGATAATCCTAGAGTATTGATGTCGTTGTTCGATACAGGTGTTGCGAAGAAGGTATGTTAGATCCATGTGTCGTACGATGCTACAACTTCGAAGAATATGGTTGTTTCTTCTTGTGCACATTGTATTGGCCAGCCCACCCATTCAGACAATTCTTTTACTCATAGTGCATTCAATCAATAGAACCAATCATGGCCAGGAATTCACGTTGTGCAGCATGATGAAGGACGTGTCGAGTATCTTCCATTGGTTGTGCACGAATGTACTAGGAACCACAAATGTTCATGATAGCTTATCAAAATTTTCTCAAACACTCTAGTACGGTGCTTTCACCTGTTCGCAGGTCTCATCCAAAGAGTCTGTCGGGCATCCATATGCAAGCACACGAAAAGTACTAGCAAGCTTCTACTGTTGGGAGAGAGAGTCACGACATGAAGCATCTTTCCCTTGCTTGAAGTAGCAATCGTAGTGAATAAGATCATTCATGACTCGATTGAATGAGGTAGGGGGCATATGATATTGTCTTGTGAAGGCCTTAGCATCATATGTTGGGTTTGTGTTTGGTTTGGTTAGGAATGTTCAATTTTCCTATAGGTTGACCTGGCAGCGGGGTTTTAATTTTTCCAAGTTAATATAGGTGACTAGGCATTTGTGTTAGCCACATTAGCAAAACACTAACACGGTTAACGAAGGCCGACACAAAGTAACGGAAAGTGATTGAACTTAAAAATTTAACTATCTTTGTGACCACGAATAAAATAAAATATTATTAGTAACCAAACTTTCAATTTACCCATAATATATGTTTACTCATTTCATTTTCTAAATTACTATCAATATCACCAAAAATGATAATGTTATAATACATCCATTGAAACAACACACCAGTTTATATATATAGTAGAAGCATTCCATCAATAAGTACATTGTAACAATTACAAACACCAAACATGTCCTATGAAATTGTGGTGGCCTGGATTAAAGATGAGCTGTTGGTGCGTTATATTCTGGTTACGGGTAAACTTTAAAAAAATAAGCAAAAGAGAGGTATTATTGAAGCCACTACAACTCTACAAGGTCTTCCCTTTTGCTGTTGCACATAGCCACAGATACAATAATCAAAACAAGATTTGTTTACCAGAACAAAAATGTAAGTTGATGGGTTCCATTCCATCCCCCAACAACTATTTGGTGCAGAAAGCTATGTTTTTCTTATTAGTTTCCTTTCACTTGAAGCGACAACTGTAGGAAGCAATGGTCTCTCACCCAATCAAAACCCTCAACCCCATCAAATATATTTCTCCATTTCCACGGGGTGGATGGATTGAGCTCTCCCATCATTCAGCAGTTAGCATATCATCCCCACACCCTTCACAATTAGTAACAAAATTGGGATCATAATACTTTGTGAAAGCTTGACGATTGTTGTCATATTAATTGCTACACAGACGGCCCAATTCCTCTTACCCAGTTGCCTTCATCTTCTTCTTCCTTCTTCTTCTTCCCCTCCTACATCTGAGTTCCAAGAACTCCATTTATGGGTTCTTCAGAACGGCCCAAGAAGAAGGTGCAGCTGTGGAAGAAAGCTGCCGTCCACTTCGCGCTTTGCTTCGTCATGGGCTTCTTCACTGGGTTTGCCCCCACGGGTAGTAAAGCCCCAACAACCGCAGCAACTCGTTCAGTAATTTTATCGAACACCTCATCTGCAGCAACCCCCCACTCCTCCCAAATCGCATCCCTCCGTTCCACTGCGGGCGGCGGCAGAATCAACAAGAGCCGTAAGTTGATCCCCCAACAGCAACCCGAGTCAAGCTCCGACGATGGCCAACCACTGCCCACGCATTTCGAAGAGGTGAAAACAGAGGAGTTCACGGGGGCGGCAGAGTTGAGTTCGAAATCGAAACTCACTCCCAGGAGGCTAATCATCATAATCACGCCCACCAACGCCAGGGACCCGCACCAAGGGGTGAATCTCCGGCGGCTGGCGAACACGCTGAGGCTGGTCCCGCCGCCGGTGCTGTGGGTGGTGGTGGAGCACATGGAGTCGCCGTCGGGGAAGGAGAACGAGGTGTCGGAGATGCTGAGGTCGACGGGGATGATGTACAGGCATTTGGAGTACAGGGAGAATTTCACGGCGGCGGAGGCCGAGGTGGAGCTGGAGCACCAGAGGAATTTGGCGTTGAAGCATTTGGAGCGCCACCGGCTGAGCGGGATCGTGCATTTCGCCGGGATTCACAATGTCTATGACCTTGACTTCTTCGACGAGCTCAGGGAAATCGAGTAAGGATGAACCCAACTTTCTTTACCGTTTATTTATTTATTCATAACAATTTCATTTTAATCTTTTCTGTTTGGCTGTTATATTTTGGTTTTTAATTTAGGGTACTCACTGTTGACTGCCGACCCTCTCTAAAATGAGCATTGGCGCCTAGGCTAATTTAATCTTATCCCTTTGATTTACGTACAACCTGGAGTTCATGAAAGAAATCCATTGTTTAACTATTATTTTAATATTTTTAGTACATATTCCAGAATCACTTTGGGGCTTTATTCTATAGTCTATTTTAATATTTGTAAGAGACTATTAGAGACAATTTCGAAACTTTTCCCAAATGAACATGAATTCTCAAGTCTACACAAATTAAAGATTTGAGGTGTTTACATCTTTTATATCTCATTGTGCTGTCTTTGTTTTCAATTTGAATTTTGAATTTTTTTTGCACAAAAAGAACGATTTCATTATAATTTACGCACAAATTTGTAGTAACAAATTTTCAAGATCAAATATACCAATCTATACCACCTTGTTAGAGGGTGGTAACTGACGATGAAGGTGATAAGTGGTGGTTAATATATTCATAAGGTCATGTATACAACCATTATAGTGGATCAGGTATACAACCACCAAATATTATTACCATCTTGATATAGGCAGGTAATATATGTCTCTTTTTTTTTGTTACTATTAATCGGGGAGGACCTACGTTCATGAAATGTTTGTCAATTGACAAACCTTGACCCAATATTAGTACACAATTTCTTTGTGAATTTTATGTTAATGATGGTGGTATTTAAACAAAAGACTATTTGACAATTCTTGATGATTTTGTTTTACTATTGAATACTCTTGATGTAATTTCTGGGTCCGTCACTGCTATTGATATGTTTTTTTTTTGTTTGTGTAAAATTTGAATTCTAATATAAAAAAGAGATAGAGCCCATCAAATGTTATTGGGTTATAAGTTCTAGTATGAAAAGGTATCATCCTTAAGTGGGTTAGCAGCCAGCATCCTGATCATAATGGAAGTCGTAACATTTTAACAATCACCTTAACCACATTATTAGAGGTTTGACAGGTCAATCAAGGGAGGCTAAATTTGAATTAATTTTTTCATAGATGGAGAATTATATTTTAGCATTTTATACTAATAATAATAATAATAATAATAATAATAATAATAATAATAATAATAAAATTATAATTAGTTTCTTCAAAGTGTGTCAGTGGGATTCTTTCCCTCTGGATTAGGCAGAGAACTCGCATTTCTCTTTGGTCATTCGGTGGAGGAAATTCCGAAAAACCTAGAAGGTGCTGGCCTCCTACTTTGGAGAAATAGGAAGAAAAAAAGAAAAACCGAAACAATACCAACCAACGGTTGGATGGTGATTCCTCCCTTTACCAAATACCAATTTTAATTGAACATTAATCAACATGTCCAACAAACAATATGAATTATATACCCCCACACATGGTCAGTAAGCATTTGACTTTACATAATAATGGTTTTAGAATACATACCCCCAGCTCATCAGTTCCTTTAGACAAAAGATCAATTGTGCAATTAAGATCATCCGTCAGTGACCCGCAATTCGATGCTAACAATCGTTGGATACTGCGTATCATTTTTTGTACGATAGTTTGAATGTATGTCAGTATGTGAAGTCAGTTCATAAATACCTATCATCGATTGAATTCAACAACCGTGGACTGTACGCAACTGAACAATTGATCTGGTCTTGTCACGGATTGTTTTTTACGCACACTTCAGTTTGCTTAGTGATCAATTGATCGGTAGCTCATCATCATGATGGGAATGTGATGTACTTATATATTGTGGTCGTGCAGGATGTTTGGGACATGGCCAATGGCATTACTGACGCCACACAAGAGCGAGGTGGTAATCCAAGGGCCCGTCTGCGATTCCTCCCAAGTCATTGGGTGGCATCTCAACAAAATGAAGGACACCACCACGAAAAGGGAAGTAATAGTAGAAGAAGAACCTCCGAAAATCCATGTTTCTGGGTTTGCATTCAACAGCTCAATCCTCTGGGACCCTGAAAGATGGGGCCGTCCTTCTTCCTCGCAGCGTACCTCCCAGGTAATTAAAAAATCCATCGATTCATCGTGATTGTTATCGCGTCGGATGTCTATAAACATACACGCGCGATGATATATATATATATAACGTTCGGTGTCGTTGAATTTTGCAGAATTCGATCAAGTTTGTGAAGGAAGCGGCTTTGGATGTGGAAGGAGAGACCAAACTGAAGGGAATTCCAGCGCAGGAATGCTCCAAGATAATGGTGTGGCGTCTTCGGCTCCCTGCTACTGCTACTACAAAAAATGTTGTGCCATCTTCTTCTTCTTCAGATAGCAACATCCTGTCCCAATAAGCAAACCACTCATTGTACCCAAACCCTAGGGAGATTTTAATTTTTCAACGGTTTTACCTCTCTTTGATGGGAGTACCTACGGCGTAAGGTTATAAATAACCAATTCTTTCCTCTTCATTATTGATATGGAATATAGAGAAATTGAGAATCACATCTAAATTGGAAGTTGTATATGCTTTTCTTCTTAATTTCAAGAAATTTTTTATGGAATTGAAATCAGGTAACATTGATCTCGTCCTATTATGTCTAGGTATTTATTCAGATTAATTTGGTTTGATGTGGATGAATCGTCATTGAATCAATATAGATCATTCATTAATAAACAGAAACATCATCAAAAAAGTATTTTAGGGCCGTCTCTTCTTGAAAACAACTAATTTTCACGCCAATTTGTTTCCAAGCCTTGTAAGAAAAATCAGTCCAAGGCAAATGAAGATGAAGGGCTTGGAACCTTAAGGAATCTCCGAATGAGAATTGGAATAATTTATTTGTTTGGAAGTTATGATTATAGATGAATGATTCTTTGAATTTATGTATTTTGGAGAATACATCATTTTTTTGTTGCAAAAATTTATTCAATACATGCATTGGAGGTGGGCCCTCAAATCTCATATCACCCACAATCACTCATTTTAAATCTCGGCAAAAATGTAATATTCTTCCTTTGAGATTATGAGCTTTAATTTGTTCCACTTTTAGCTCATTAAGTGATTTTTTATTTTCTTTAAATTTTTTGAATAGCTACAAACAAACAAGACATTGTTCCAATTATCAGATTCTTACAATCTTTGTATTTATAATACATGTATTCATCAAATACACATATTTGAAGAATCTCAACTTCCAAATGACCCCTTAGAGAATCATGAATCAGTAATTCGGCTAGTAGTTACGGGGAATCAATACCTTAGTGAGTTGCCAACTTGTAATTAGTCTAACCTTAGTTTAGTTTGTAGAGTAGTTTAGTTGTTTACTCTGAATCTGATTTGGTCAGATAATAAACTGAAACTGAGTAACAATACAGATAGAGACTCATGACTTTGATATTTTATTACTTGTGCCACTATAATGCAATATCTTTCATTGGTTACACTTGGCTTGTGTTAGTAGCGTAATTTGTAGCGCCCACGAACCCTGGAGTTTTTTACTATGTAACTCAGGTTTTGGTATATATTATTTTGATTTTATCTACCTTTTCGGTTTGATTTAATTGTTTGGTTTGTTGTCGATGTGATTGCGTATGTAAGAAGAGAACTATCTTCAAAGGACAAATCCTCAAACCTGACTACAAGAGTGGATGAGACTGGACACGATAGTCCCTCACGATCGATCAAACTGCGTCCACTTCCTTATAGGTGTCCATAGGGTCCATATCATTACCTATTAGTTTTGGTAAATGTCAGGCACGTGGTATGAATAAACATACCGGTGATCAAACACCTCGTATGCTACCAAGATCAAGGTTGAGAGTTATGATCGTGAAGCTTGCCTATGCAACGCCTCACCTCCTGTTTTCTTCACCTACCAGTAGAGTAGATTTTGTTTCATGCACTATTTTTTTCCTTTCATTTCGTAAAACCAATGGGAATTTTAACTCCGGAGGCACTCCAAAAACCACATTCTCGTTTTCAAACATATAGAACTCATCTCTCAGCACATGAGTAAGTGGTTTTGAGCGACCCTATGTAATACAATCATGTACTTGGACCTAGTAAATTTGCATACTATGTACTACCCACGATCAATGCCCCCGGGGTCGATTTCCTCTTGAGTTCTTTTCTCTTAAAACAATATTGCAAAAAATAGAATAAAATACTGGACGAGGAAAAGAGAAAAGACCTTGCATAAGCAAGCTCCCCCTAGGCGACTTATACATCATCCATTTCAGTTAACTTTGTTATTTTTTTTGCAACTGTAACTATTAACAAATAATATAATAGTATTTTTCTAATTCTTTTAATTCTTCTTCCACACCCATCAATTCTCCGACCCTCCTTCAATAACTCATAGCTTCACCCCGAACTTCATTTTCGTTGCATCGACGCCCACTCCTTGTCCGCTAGCTAGAAAACCCTCTAACTCTGGATTCTCCCACTTTCTCTAATTTCGCAACCTCGCCAGCTCTTCTCACCATGAAATCCCACACCAATTTCTTATTCCCTTCGGAGAAGGTCCTCTGTAGCGGCGCCTTCTTCGATGCAACGACACAGTCGTTATCGTCGTCGACGAACTAGGAGGTTAGAGTTGCGAGTAGTGATAAGGGTGCATTCCCTCCTTGCTGTGCTTCTTAAATTTCTCCTTTTTGGACAAAAATAGTTTCATTTTGCTCTCTGGTTATATACGCTTCAAACAACGCAGGCGACACATAGCAAAGTGGGAGAGTATTTTTCAACTAACACGCGAGGTCAAAATGACATCAAATTTTGGCACGACGCAACATCACTCACTAGATTCTTCAAGCTCAGTGTCGAGGAGCTCCAAAAAAGCAATGTTATTGTGTGTGTGTGTGTTTGTCTTCTTTCCCGATGTTTCTTTTTTAAGTTGAGGAAAAATGCTTTGGTGCAAGGAAGGAGGAAAGTTGTGTAGAAAATATTTTATCGTCGAGCACAGGCAAAATTGAAGTTCGATGGAGGACAGTGACAGAGCGATGTTGGTGTATGGATTAAATTAAAAATATAGTATAGATAAGTCATAATTGGTGTGTGGGAGAGGAAAATAAAAATTAATCTTATTTTTATTATTTTCAACAGTTTTAATTGTGAGGTGGAAATTAAAAAAATTAAAAAAAAATTTATCGATAAGTCACTCATTTAACGATCAATTATGTTAATTGACCACAACGTAAAAGAAAGTTAAAAAAAAATGGATTGTGAATCATCATATATAAAATGAGAATTTATACTTAGTAACCTTTAATGCAATTGAAAATTTCTCTGGACAAATATGAAACAAAATTCTAAACATAGTGACCGAATGTGCCATTCAAAATCAATGTATCATATCTTATCATAGACATATGCATAACTGGTTATCCACCTTACCTTTACTCTTGGGGACAAGTTGGAAAAGATGGTGGCCCACGTATTGGAACCTAATCCAATAATGGGATGAGTTATTGTTAATGAATTGGGTCATGGAGGCTACTCAATCACACTTTAATTATATGTTAACACACAATAATAAATTAATAATCATCTAAATTTAATGCGGTTGACAATAATATATATCTACAAAAATTTCCCAGCGCGTTCCAGTTGCTAGTTGTAAGGTCTCAATAAATTATTGAGTTGGATTATTCTGAATTACGCCCATGTCTTCCAATGCAATCAAAGAAGTTTACACTCTCTATAACCTCGAAGTTAATTAATGGAGCTAAATTGTTGTGTAAGCAAAGCAAAACGGTGATAATGAATCATCTTTTTTTTTTCCTTGAGAGGAATTTGTCTCTTAATACTGTGGTTATTCAAGTTAATACGTTTTTCAAGCATAGCTAGTGTGGTTGTTATTTGTTAAATGATAGAGTGGGCATGTGGATTTGGTATGACAATTGGATGCATGTTAGGTCAGATGCTAGAAAGGACAGTTGATGATTTGGGGCCACTTCCAACGGCTATTTTAACACCACAAAACAAATACAATCTTCTATTGTCGCATTGCACCGCCAAAACAAACATTGAATTTAGTTTAATGAATGCTATTATCTATTTACTGCCACAAAAAAATAAGAATAAATACTTGGGATGGGGTCTCAACTCTCAACGCCGAACCCCTTAATTGATTTGTTTCGGCTAATACTTAATATCAATATATGGCTGTTATAAAAAAATATATATCAATATGGCTACAACTGTATACAAATGAATAAATTTGGCCACAACTATTTCAATTTTAAAAATAATTAACATGTTTACCTTTATTTTTTAGTTGATGGTGGATGGCAACGATCAACTCATGTAATTGTTAGTGAGTCGATAAACATTGTTGATGTGACTGTCAATTGTCATTCACATTAGCCAAATTGTTTATCCAAATTGTAATCTTTAATTTCAAATTAAGTTTGCAACCTGTTACTCCGTCTTCTCACATTCTGCCTTCTCTTCAAGACTACTTTCTTCCTCCACGACTTGCAACATCATAAAGGACTTGCACTTGAATAACTCCACGTCCATGCTTAAGAAATAACAACCCAGATAAGTTGCAAACTTGTCTCTCATCCAGGGGCGTAGCTAGCACAGGAGGTGATGAGGTCTCATCTCGGCGCTCAATGGATCAAATGGAAACTACACTCAAGTGTGTTGATGAGTTTGAATTTTGTGTTCAAGACCCTATTTTCAGCCCTTATAACTTGAATTCTGGGTTTACATATGGTTGGAATTTCACCCGTCGGGATAGTACGAGTTGCAAGCTTTCCAGAAAGCCATCAAGCACTTCTCGACTCCAACTAGAACTCCATAACGAGTTGGAAGAAGGAGGCTACTTGAACACAGGCAGGCAGGGTCGAAATTGTCTAAGTATAGAAGGAGCAGATTTTGGTGTTGAGATACCAACTTTGGAAGGCTAGTTCTCGTTGATGGGAGATGATTTGGACCAGCTGGACGTTGCAAACGAAAGAAGGAAACTTCTACTTCCACGTGAAGGGGTAGGATGAGTTTGACAAGGCGATTTACCCCATTTTCTAAGAGCCCCAAGTTGGTACCCAGTACACTAAAAACGTGCAGCTCAAGGCACTTACTTGGTTGAGAAGAAACCTTGGTTTCATTGTTCTTTTTGGCACCTGTTTAAGCTTACATTTCATTGTTTGGTTAGGACAGTCTTTCTTGTGATTCGTAGTGTTCCATTGTCTATTTATAGGTTTTCAATTAACGTGTAATGGTAGAGAGAAGAAGATTAATCATAAGTTGTTTTCGTTTAATTCATGATCTTCGTTTGATCGTGTTTGATTGTGTGTTTGGGTTCAATCCAAGCTCGAGATCAAGCTCAAGCATCAGCTGGTGAATCACGACCAGTTGTGGGAGTTCTACCCTAAATCGTTGAGCCTCTTTCCCGTGAGAAAGTTGTTCGATTGATTCGTTGTCACATTCTGATTGTGCTTCAAAACAAACAAACTTCTCAATCCTTGTTGGTTGCGTTGGTTACTCTGATTGTGATCCTAACCAGGGTCATATCAGGAGGAGGGGGGTGCCAATGCACACCCTTGCTTTGGGCTCAACAAAGGGAGAATAGATGTATGTTGGAGAGATCTCATTAAAATTACACCTGGACTTGTGGACTTGGATGTTTAGGAGTTGAGACAAAAAAATATTAAAACAAATACTTTTATCTAAAAAGTATCGAAAGGATAACAAACCAATCTAGTAATCAAATTCCCTCCCAGGCTTCCACTACAAAGGTAATCTATAGGTAGCATCACCCCATCCCAATTGACCAATTTCCCATTATCACCGCCCCAACCCGTAGGTAGAGATTGCCATTGTGGTTTCTTATTTTTATTGTCCCCCAATCTAATTGAGTTTTTTCAATTAATTATTTGGTTACTCCGTTTTTTAAAATATGTAGCTTTTACCATGGAGAAATCTTGATAAAAATGGTCAAAACAACTCCAAATGTTCAAGGGCGTGAAGTTAATTCCTCAAATGCACCTACAATTAACTCTAACTCGACTACACCAGTACTGTCACAACAATCTCTCCCGGTAAACCATTTTAAGCTTAGCTTCAGATCTAGGAAAAGTGAAATTAACACAGTTTTTTTTTAAATCGACATTCCCTAAAGCAAAATTCTTGCTACGCCACTTCTCTCATCGTCTTTGCCTTAGCACGTGTGATTGGCCCTTTGATGCCCTTATAAGCTTCCCAAGCATGAGCAACTCAAGTGTCTTGCCAACCTAAACCCCCTTTTTTATTCTAGTGTAGTTTTTCTAGTTATTCTTTTTTTTATCTTTTATTTTAGTCCATTTTTTCATTATTTCTTATTGAGGATGAAGTATGTTAGAGTCCCCCCCCCCCCCACTCTGCAATGCCCTTGGATTAAGTGGTTAGTCGTTAACTGATATTGCGGTTAGAGGTTATCTGCTAACTAGGAAATCACTATCATTAGCCAACTCACCAAAACTTAACGGTTAACTGTTAATCAATATTAAGGTTAATGATTTTTTTAGCCGAGACGACGAGAAGCGGAGCAGGATTGTGCAATGGAACAAATGGTTGAGACATCAAGCTCTAAAGGCAAAGAAAGAGACCTCATAGAAATCACTTAATTTAGTTAATAGTTAAGAGTATAAAATCACATAAAATTCTTAGGATCAATATTAATAGCCCTTACGCATCATCATCCTTAGCCTCACCCTCACTCTCATTCTCGTAAAATCCTTGATATCATTATTCTCAGGAGCACTTGAAGTACTTCCATTACCATATTTCCTTGATCACCATCATCTGGCAAATGTAACTCACTGATTGATGCATTACCTTCTTAACTGATAAAAGGTCGAGGGTGCTGAAGGATTGGGAGATGAACTAAAACTTGCAATGGAATGGGGATTCTGATAATTGTGAGGGTGGTAGGAACAAACTACAAGCTAATTGGGAGGGTGGAAGGAATCATTGATAGAAGGAGTTGGGGGTTAGCGTGCGGAAGAGGAAGACATGAGGAATATAATGACTATAAATCGAGGGTCGTCTATCGGGCTAGGGTTGTGTTGTTCATTATGTTGGTTCGGGGATGTAAACTTGACTGCTTCATGGCAAAACTCGACTTGACCAACCTAATTTTGCTCTTATTGACATGAACCTTGATATCATAGATTTTAAGGACTTTAGAGTTTTCAATCGAGATTTTATGGGATTCTATAGTTCATAGATTTTGTAGTAAAATCAGGATCGGAACCCATAGGTAAGATAGTAAAATTGTAAAATTTTAAGATTAAAATTAGGATTTTAACTACATTGGGCAAGTGTACCAATTTCTACTACTAATACTTAATCCATGTTTCTGGGACATACATAACAATATCAGACAAGTTTAGTATGAGCCGCAAAGCGGTGAACACGTTGATTTGAGTCGAGTTTTTCTCTAGTTCGAGTTTAGGTTATTTACCAAAACCTGGACTCAAGTTTGGTTTGAGTTTGACTTCAACTTGACTCATTAATAAACTCACCAGCTCAACTCATCGATAAGTTCACGAGCTTGACTTGAGCTCAACTTATTATGAGTCTAGAATGGTTGATCCCATATTTTCATACTAAGTTATATCATGTTATTTAACAATAATTACTATCTAAGGAATCCATAATACATAATTTCTATATAAAATTATAAATGAGACATATATGTTTATGTACCCAAAGTCTTAAACCATAATATGTTATGAGATATATAATCTAACAAAATCTATGAACTATATATCGGTTTGCTTATAAGTTATACATCGTCCAAGCTTACTCGCTGACACACTATCGAGCTATTTTATAAGGCTCAAAATGAGTCATTCACCCGTTCAGTTTAACAAGTAACACAATGAGTTGGCTCGCTAAACAAGCTTTTATTTTAGCTCAGCACATTAATAAATGACCTGAGTGTCGACCAAATGTTTTTGAATACAATGTCGAGCCACTCATAAGTTGATCTGCTCATTTGCAATCCTAATCACAAGTCATACTGGATTTTTTTTTTTGTTTTTTGTTTTGTTCTCCTATGCCATGTGGAGGCATGTAGCGTGGTTAATTACTAGAAAAGAAAAGTTGTCCAAGTTTAAGGATTAAGTGAGGCAAAGGGAGGAAAGAAAAGAAAATTATCTCCCTTCCCCCACCCTTGTAAGTCACATTAGCAAAAGCTGCTTAACTAAGATTTAATAAAGAGAGACTCTTTGCAAGTAGAACATAAACATAATCACACACTCACATAGTCACATGGCCATTTGTTAGAAATTTAATGCGGAAGGAAGGCGAAAAGTTAAAGCGAATAAAATACAAGTGATTCAGAAAAAGCTGAAAACCATTGGTATTAGTTACCCAATTATCTTCTGTGAACTGACTTTCTTCCAACATTGACTGGTTAGACCACATTTTTTTTTACAATCAACTTTCAGGTTAAAAAGTCCTTTTCATTGTTTAACGGATTTCTGAACCACCCTAACAAATCAAGGAATAAGCTCTCAAAATTGTTTATCCCATTCATTTATTCATTCATTAAAAGCAGAAGCAGAGAGGCCCTCTGTCAAATCAAACCCCAGTCTGCCGTCTGCTGCTCCGGCGATTCCCTTGCCCTTCCGGCACCGGTTTCCGCCACTTTCCCTGCACTCTGTCAATGCCAAGTGGATCCCACTTGATTTTATTTCTCACCATTTTTTTCATTTGAAAATTGGAAGGGGGAGCTGAATGCTGATTGATGATGGGTAGTAAAGCGGGGAGATGAAGGAATTAGTGGGGCTCACAAACACTCTCTTTCTCACTCAGACTTGGCCAAAAAGACCAGCTGGGCTTGTGGGTCTCTCTCCTCTCTGCTTCTCTCCCTTCTTCCTCCCATTTCACATTTCTTCATTCCCCTTCTCTCCATATATTTGGTTTCTTTTTCGGGGGTTCTTTACTCCAAAGGAAAGATCTGAAGCATCGTCTCTTTTTCCCCTCTTCTCTCTCTGTCTCATCGCATTTCTTACCAGCTTCTTCTTTCTCTTCCTCTTCTTATTCCTTTTCCTATCGGAGAAGAGAAAAGTGGGACGGGAGGCTCTCTGGAGGCCTACTAGAGAAAGTTGTGTCCGAGATCTGTCCCATTTCCGGCTCTCCACTCACTGGTATACTCTACTTATGTTCACTCTTTTCTCTCATTCCTTGATTTCTTGGGATGAAGCTTCTAAACCATGGACCCCAGCTGGGGCAAAACAAAGAAAAAATCGATTCTTTTGTTCGGTTAGCTGTTGCCTGTGCAGTTCCTTTTGTTGGGTATCTTTCCTTTTGCTGAGTACTGAGATGGGTTTTCTTTTTTTCCCCCTGTTTGTGGTTTGTCGGTGGATGGCTGGGTTACTGTTTGGTTGCTGAGAAAATGGCAAGAAAAAATTGGGGGGATCGGGGTGAATCGCAATTTTGACACTTCAATTCAACATTTTTCTGTGCCTGGACTTCTGGCAAAACACTGGTTACTCCTGGCCGACAATTTCTGGGGGGGTTCAGAATTAGACACATTCAGCTAAAGTCAAACTGCTTTGGCATCTTTTGCTTCACCTATGGAGTTGTTATTTTGTGGGAAATCTGTAGATGTTAATTGATGTTTGAGTAAGTTTGTTTTTAATAGATTTTAACTCTTTCTCTTGTATTTCTTGATTCACTTTCCGCCTGTTAATAAGATTTGGTCCAATCTGTGTTGGAACTTCAGGTGTGTTTCCTTTGTTGGGTAATTGTAGAATTTCCAAAATTAATCCTCTTGATTTCCCTTTGCAGAAGATTTTGGTCGAGGAATGATAAAGAAGTGATGGGAAGGAAAGGGAATTGGTTTTCTAGTGTGAAGAAAGCACTCAGCCCTGACTCCAAGGAGAAGAAAGATCAGGTTTTTACCCTCAAAACAATGTTGTATGTTAAACTGTGCGTTCTTTTCAGATGTGGATCTTGATATTAACACATACTATCTATGATCCCCACAGAGGTCGAGTAAATCCAAGAAGAAATGGTTTGCCAAGCAGAACCTGGATGCCGGTTCAGCTCCAGTGGCGAATGGGGCAGCAGAAGCCCCACTTCCCCCACTTCCTCCTCAACCAGATGAGGAGGTGAAAGTACTAGAGACCACAATTGAAGTGAACAATCATGGCTACACTTTGCCAGTTGCTGCTGCTGAGCCACCTGAGCCTGCAACTCCTGTTGTTGTTCAAACAACCACTATGGAAGTGGTTCGAAAAGCTAATAAATTTGCTGGGAAATCAAAGGAGGAAGCAGCAGCAATCAGGATTCAAACTGCATTTCGTGGGTATCTGGTAATCTCTCTAGTCATTATGTACTGTTTTATGGTTTCTTTGTTTCCATATTGAAATTTATGATGAAGTTTTGTTGCCTCTTGTGTTTTCTTAGGCTAGGAGAGCACTTAGGGCTTTAAGAGGATTGGTGAGGCTGAAAATGCTGATGGGAGGTCCCACTGTAAAGAGGCAAGCTGTCCACACGCTCAAGTGCATGCAAACCCTAGCTCGAGTACAGACTCAAATCCATACCAGGAGAGTCAGAATGTCTGAAGAAAACCAGGCTCTCCAGAGACAACTTTTGCAGAAACACGCCAGAGAGCTCGAGAGCTTGCGGGTTCGTTTTTTGCTCTTTCACTTTCTTATCGACGATGTGTTTGGTTTTGCATATTTTTGAATTGAGAGGTGTAGTTGAAAAACATTGTTTTGTTCAAAGTCTTTGTGCAACGTGTTACTGCAAATATTATTTATCAACTGCATATGAATGAATACATTGGCTGTTGGTCCTTCGTTGTGCTAACCTAACCAATGTGACACTGTCGTAACAGATGAAAGAGGGATGGGACGATAGCGTGCAGTCAAAGGAGCAGGTAGAGAGCAACATGCTAAGCAAGTACGAGGCAACCATGAGAAGGGAAAGAGCCCTGGCTTATGCATTCTCTCATCAGGTAATCAGTCATTCCTTTTTATTTCTTTTTCCCAGAGCAAGAGCCAGTTTAGGGTTGATGATCGAACCAAACCTCACCGTGACCAATCTCTATGCAGCAAACCTTGAAGAACCCTACTAGACCAGCTGCAGGCATGTTCATGACACCTGGCAATCCTTCCTGGGGCTGGAGCTGGTTGGAAAGATGGATGTCAGCTCATCCTTGGGAAACAAGGAACACTACTACTGATAAAGATCCCAACAATGATCAAGCTTCTGTAAAGAGTGGAAACAACCGAAGCTTGGTTGGTGGAGAAATCAGCAAAGCTTATGCCCGTTATCAGCTCAACTCTGATAAACTCTCCCCTGGAGATCATCAAATGAGTACAAATTCCCCTTCAGCTACATCAAAGCCAGTTTCTTCGGTTGCGAGAAAACTCAAGTCGGCGAGTCCCAGGAGCAGCATTGGTGGCCCAGATGAAGACACCAGAAGCATGGTTAGTTTCCAGTCTAACAGAAGGCACAGCATTGCAGGATCATCTGTGAGGGACGATGAAAGCTTGGCCTCACTTCCAAGCTATATGGTGCCCACACAGTCTGCAAAAGCTAAGTCCAGGCTCCAGAGTCCATTAGGGCTAGGAGGAGCAGAGAGGAATGGGACTACACCTCCAGAAAAGGAGAAAGGAGCCTTGGCATCTGCAAAGAAGAGGCTTGCTTACCCGCCTTCGTCGCCTGCCAGGCCTAGGCGCCATTCTGGTCCTCCCAAGGTGGATACCAGCTTGATTAAGGCTGGAAATGGGGTGGTGGCAAATGGAGGAGACATGTAGCCGCCATCCAGAGTTTGATTTGAAAGATGACAAGGTAGTGGAGTTGATCTTCTCGCTATCTCTTGAAGAAGTGGAAGGAAGTAGGAAATGAAAAATAAGTGTTTGAAGTTTCATACTACTATTTTGTTCCTTTTTCTTAATGGGTTGTTTCTCAAAATCTTTCTGTGGTTTCTTTCAGTGTTGAAAGTGGTTGTTATTATTCATTCATTTGCATCTGCAGGAGATGACATGATGTGGTTCACTTCATTTGTTGGGGGTTGGCGGGGCGTGGGGTTCACTTGTTTTATTTATTTATTTATTTAAAGTGAGGGGCTTGTAAAACCTTTGTAATGTTGAAAGGTGATTGCATGTTTGGATTAATATCTTTTATTTATGAACTTGCAACCACTTTGTTTTCCCATTACCAATATGATACCCAACTATTAAAAAATACTATTTTTAGCTCGCATTATTTACAATGCAATGATACATATCTTAAACTACGAGCTAAAGTTCCAACTTTATTTAGAGACCTAAATGTTTTGTTGACTGTTAAAATTAACAGGTGACTTAATCGTAATGAAATATGTGTTAGACTATAATGACATGATGTTTACATCTTAGCTATAAGTTGCCACTTAATAAATTAAAAAGAAAATAAAATAAATTGTTGTAATTTTATTTGTCTAATATATTTTCTTTCAAATAAGTATAAATAATATAATAAAAAAAAACACTACGACTTACCATTGTCCTTCTCGATGGGAGATGATAGGGTGACAACAATCATTATGGTTTTAGGGTGACAACACATGTTATCCAATGAATATGAAGTTAAGATTGTGCTTACTTTTTAATAAGTTAGGTTGACTCAATTTAAATTTTACGCAGTGTAAAATTCATAAAAGGGCATGATAATCATTTTGAATGTTATGTTTAAAAGATTTATTCTGAGGCGGCGAAGATGAAGGGAGGAATAGTAGAGCGAAAGCTTTGGAGAGCAAGCTAAATCTTTTTACGCTTCGTTTCTCATTGATTTCGAGTGTCTTCCCCTTTGTCCATGGACAGTGGAATGGAGGAAGGAGGTGCACGATCGAAGAAGGGGATAAGTGAAGATCTATTTTAGATTTTAGGGATTTAATTTGTTTGTGCCGGTTCAAAAGTCAGGTATTGTTTGGTTAGAGGGTTGGGTACTTGGGCTGTTTCAGATGATATGGCGGATCTTAGTGACGTGGTGGGTCGGGTATCACTATTTTCGGGTTAAATATGGCTGATTAGACGATTATGTCCGTTATGTCAGTACTTAATGGACTTCGTTAACGGAGATGGACGTTGACTAACGGAGAGTGACCTAACGTGAATGATTTCACTAAACTAAGTGACCACCAACGGATTTAAATATTTTCAGTGACCAAACATGATTTTTTTTTTTGTAATATAAGTGACCAACAATGAAATTAATCCCTTATTTTTGTAATTTGTCACTTATGTAATGTCGATATATGTGTAATTGTTAATATATTGGTTGAAGTTATAAAGAAAAATATTATTTATAAAATATGTTAACAATACCCATACCCGATCAGATTTCAGATATTCATGATTATTTATAAATAATCATGAATATCCGAAATCTGATCGGATATGGGTATTGTATAAATAATGATGAATATACGAAATCTGATCGGGTATGGGTATTGTTAACATATTTGTTGTGAAGGCATAAATTTGCTTCTACTAGTGGTTTTTCCTATACGTGGGGAAGAAGTATGTTTAGGGAAGTGGGGAAAAGAGGTGGGTCGCTAATGCACTATTTATAATTTTGATTTCTAGGGGTCGTTTGGATGCAGGATTCTAATGAGAGATTTTAAAACAATTCTTCATCATGCAGGATTTTAAAATAATCATGCGTTTGGATATACGAGAGATTCTGGGCATTAGGAATTTTAAAATCTCTCAAATGCAGGTTTTTAAAATAGCTGATGGAGATCAGCTATTTCGAAATCCCTCATTTTTTTCAGCTCTGTTCCAAACTTGTCCTTCTTCCAAACTTGTTCCAAACTAACACTCTTCCTTCTTCCCTGTTCATCATCATCTTCTCCATCGTCTTTCTCCGGCGAACTCAAGCTCCGCCCACCTTCTTCCGGCATCCAAGCAAAAACTCCTATACCGGCATTGCCGCCTTCCCATCCCAATTCAGTGAACCCTTTCTTCTTCCCATCTCGTCCCCATCCTCTCCACCCTGTTTCTTCAGCGACGTCAAACTCCGACCCAGCTTCTTCCTTCCTCTTACTTCTTCAGAGAAGATGGTGTGCCTCGTTCACCGACTCTCGCAGCCCCCATCTACCAAGTCGTCGCCCGCCAACTGCCCATTAGAAGACAAATCACCGGCGTCGAGCAGTTCTTTGTTCGAAGTCGGCGATTGTAGATCTGCAAAAAAAAAAAAAAATTGCTCTGCAATTGAAGCCCGGCACTTTCGGATTGTATGTTACGGGTCGATTTGGGGATTTTCCCTTTGCTGCAAAAATTGGCACAACAGCAAAAGACTTGAGAGCAGCCAGAAGCCGAGACGAAGGAACGGAGAAGAAGAAGAAGCAGAAGAAGAAGAGAGAGAGAGAGGGGTAATCGTGTAATTGGGATTCTATGGGCTAAAATCCTGATCCATTCCCAAACGCAGAATTGTACAAAATCCCACGTTTTAAATTCCTAGGGTTTTGGTTGAGAGATTTGGGTCTTAAATCCCTCATTTTAAAATACCTAATCCAAACGGGGCCCTAGAAAAATCCTACAACAAAAGAAAAACTGCTCCCGTTTTGGCCTTTCTGAAGGCGGTTCATTCGGGTCTATAAAAACCCTAAACCAACCAAATCCGCATCCCACCCAAACACGCACCAAAAGGGGAAGAAAAAAATCGATCCTGCCCGGAATTACAATCTCTTCGAGCTCTCCGATTATTTTCAGAAATGGTGAGCCAACTCTTTCACTAGCTCTATCTCCACGAATTCTCTTTCTTCTTTCGCATTACATATTCGCCTTAAGATAGCTAAAGCTCTCCGCTGCCTCCATGGGGCAGAGCGTCGATCTTCGCATTCGTAATATGTTTGTTGTCCTCCCGATTAGGGTTTCCGTTCTTATGCTTTCCTAGATTGGAATTAGCCTGCCGCACCGCCAAGCAGTTTCCTGGATGAAGGGCAGGGGTTATTTTAGATTGATTCTTAAGGAGATTTGTCAAGTTTCTGCGTGCCTGTTTGGTTCCCCTGCCCTTCTAGCCTCTGATGAAACAACAGACCTAGCAGTGATGAGGGCTTGAACTTCTTTCGTTGGGTCGCTGTTTTCTTTCGTGGTCTGCGCGGTTTAATGGTTTGCTATAATTCTGTTTTGCAACAGGCTACACCTTTTATAGCGGGATGTACCGTTGCTGCAGCTGCTTATGGTGCCAGGACCATGATCAGGGCTTGGCAAGCTATGAAGACAAGGCCGCGTGCATTCTACAAAGGTGGTTTTCAATCTACCATGACAAAGAGGGAAGCAGCCCTCATACTTGGAGTAAGGTACTGTGTTAACTCTTAGCTGAAAGTGCATGTACAGCTCTCATTAGGATGAACTTTGTAATGAATGCATTATCTTCTGCTAATCTGATGAACTTCTATACCGAAACCACGATGAAGTGAATAATTTGTCATTGAGAAGTCTGCTAATAGTCTGCTAATAGTTCCGTTTGGCCTTTAGAGGCTGAGTGTGTAGCACACTTATGGCGGGCGTACATGTTTGTGGATTGAAGTTTGGGAACGTGATGTTGATCGTTGGAATATGAGAAGATACTTTGGGGTCCCTTGCTATTATGTTATATGTTGCATCTTTGAGCTATTGCATAAATGGGCCAGCTGAGATGGTTGGATTGGACGTGGTGTTGATTGATGCATTCGTTAGCTGAATAGACAGCTATTTGCTGAGATGATTGTCATGCTGCTATATGTCCCTTGTGTTTGTAGGGCTTCCATATTCGGTCACTTGAGTTACCCACGCAGAAACTCTGTCTCAAAGTACTAAGTGTTATTTTGGTTTAAGGGTTTTGGGGAGTGCATCATTGTCTTGTTTGCATGTGTGTGCTATGTGAAGGAGCTGTTCTTGTTCTGTGTTCATAGTATCAATGCTATTCGATTCATCTCAACGTATCACCATTCGTTACTACAGGTAGCCTTGGATTTGCCTTTGGTAAGCTAGCTAACAAACTGTACCTTCATTGTTGCCCTTCCAAAACAGGGAAAGTACTCCCGTCAAAGATGTGAAGGATGCTTATAAGAGGGTCATGAAAGCGAATCATCCAGATCAAGGTGGCAGCGGCTACATAACAAACAAAGTAAATGAAGCCAAGAACATCTTGATTGGTGGCAAAAATTCGGGCTCTGCTTTCTGAGAGGCGCACTTTCAATACCCCTCCCCGTACTTGGCACACGAGACAGATTCTTATAACCATTGGAAGAGTTTCGTTGTTAAACGTACTTGCAGGTTGCAGCATCGCACATGAGAACTGCATATCATTTTTCACCGTGTTCAACTTTTTTGCTTCGCATTCTTGTAATTGGAGGGACTATAGAAATGTTGGGTCCCTGTCATTGTGTTCCCCTCACATCAGCTTCATCATCTGTGTAAGTAAAAGGAGCCCCGAGATCGGGTAGTGAGTTGTTGTTATAACAGAATGGTGGGTGATGGATATAGCCTGTAGTTAACCCCAGATAATCTTTGAAATGGATTATTGGGTGATTGATGTGCATTGTGTGTTTCGACGATAAAACCCGAAACTCGGCACATTTGAAATCCCTCCATCCGCTATCTTATTCATCCCTTTCTTCAAAGCAAGTGTAGAGTTCATCTAACTAGTTAATGACACGAAATTGAGTTTGATTTTTAGGCCAAACCAGTATGCTTTAGAGTTTAGACAAGCCTGCTTTTGCAGTTTCGTTATGGAAGAAATTGCCCAGACAATCGACAAGCAAAGCTACTAATAATCATTCAACCTCCTGTCATAGAAATCATTTCAATAGATTATAGATCTTACTCCTCAATCGTCATTCGTTTCCTGGGGATGTCCGGTGACAAATTAGCAAAACTGAAATTTCCAAATCTCTCCTAGCTAGGATTCACCACCATTCAAAACGAGATATTTCAGGCAAATCCATCAGCAGATACATTTGGCCCCATTGTTCTCAGCAAGCTCGTTGGAGCAGAACCTGTGATCTATAACTTTACTTACAAGTTACAACAAAGAAAGCCTCTAGTCAAAAGTAGTCAAGAGACTACTAATCAAAAGACCTAGTGACAGAGGTCTCGTTGTCAGTGGCTCCCAGTACAAAGGGAGATTCACTAGCTTCTTCATTCTCATCAAGAGGGCCAAGAGCATCCCCAAAAAGAGTTGAGAATATCCGACGATGGCATTCCTTGCAGAAGAAGAAATAAGAAAAATGGCCTTCATTCGGCAGCTTATGCAGCGTTGCTCCTGGTATAACCCTGCTAATGTACTCTGCAGCTGAAGGCGGCACTACATGGTCATCCGCCCCCTGTTCACCGCCAAACACCGTTCAGATTAGAAAACTCGGAAATCTAAACCTTACTTGGACTGCAGCGGCGCTGCTCTGCATGAGATCATAGTATGGTTCTACAAACCTGCCATATGTGTATTGGGCCAAGGAATCCCACAAGCTCACACTCCGCCTCATTGAACATGGATCTTAGCCGAAGAAGAAGACCTCTCTTCTGACATCTCCTACGCACCTGTAGATCTGCCAGATTGAAGCCCCAGTTTGAAGTCTGCAGCACGGCTTCTTCAATGAATGGCTTCACCCTCCCTTGGCGAACCGACTCCTCAACATCTCTATGCCAAAACTCTTGGAATGTTGGCTGGTTAACAAGAATTTCATCCTGCGAGCATCAAGCACATAATAGATGGAATATGATGCTGGTTAAAAAAATTACAGCAGTTCACTAGTGATTTCAAAGAATAGCCTTCGCATTCGTGATTCTAGGCTCTAGCATATTGTCTTTCATAGAGAGGTATATTATCAAAGCAGATGCTTACATATTTCAAACTAAAAGTCTTCAATAGAAAGGATTGGACATCATGAAAATATCCAGTACATACTCACCTTCCTACCAAGTGGTTGAGACATCCACTTTTCAATCTGACCGTGATTTCCGGACAAGAAGCTGCGTCGGTAAAAATAGGGGAGGAAACTCGGGAATCTCCGTGCTAGAAAGTACATTAGCTTTCGTCTGGATGACCAATTTTCCCAAGTTCTGGTAGTCTCCTCCTTGGTCATGCTAGGCTCATACGGATTTACCATCGGGGCAAACATGGCAGCACCTGCAAAATTGCATTGAAGAGCGTTCCAGATTGGATCCCCATTTATGTGGGCAGCACATAATGTATCTAGGACAAAGCTGAACTGACTGATGCATTCTAAGTAGATGATATGCACATTAGGTCGATAAACAGTTTTGCAAAAGTGGTCCAAAATGGAAGGCTCCAAAAACCTTAACGAAGACAAGATGTTCAAGATCATCATCCTAGAGTTTAGCAAATAGCAAGAGAACTAGAAGGATGATAGTATACTGGCAATGGGAAGCAAAGACCCCAAACTTGCTCATAAGTCCACGAAATGGGAAAAACTAGTATACCGGCAATCCGATGAGGGATATATGTGAGTGCAGCCCAAGAGTGCATGCTTCCAGTTGAGAAACCCAGTACCCAGAATTTGCCATCCAGACCAACTGCATCGGCCAAGTGAAGCATATCCTGTGCCGATGAGTTGAGGCTCCTGGCAGGATGAGGGTCACTCTCTCCAAAACCTGGAAGATCATATGTAATCAACCGAACCCCAAACTCTTCAAGCAGAGTTGTCTCCACACCAGAGAAACCTGTACCAGTATCAGAATCAAACGCTATTCTGAAACTAAGCAAAGACTTGCTTTTGATAAAAACACTGAACACCCTCGTTACCTCCAAGTCGAGAGGAAAGGAAACAATGTGGGGAAATAACAGAGAATCGCGCTCGGCTGGCTGCAACACCGTGCTCAAGGTACGCTATCTGTCTCCCGTCGGGAAGGCTAACGCGATTCGCACTAGGAGGATGTAATCGCACTTTCTTTCCAATCGGGACTCCACTTTCATCTCTAGTATTTACACCCAACGCTGCAAAAATCGTTGAGAAGCAGATCCAAAATCAGGAAACCAATGTAAATAAAAGCAGCCGCAGATCGAACAGAAATTAGGGTCGGGTCGAAATGCGTACCCGAGACAGCGAGTAAGAAAACGAAGAATACGACGGGCCAGGCGTGTACCGGGTCGCGATCCTCGGGCAAGAAGCAGTCGTTCATGAACGCCAATCGACCCGAGGCTCGCGCAATTGGCTTCCCAAGCTTCTGAACCAGGAACGAATTCTCGTCCAGAAGATTCTGCTTGGCGATGTCCTTGCATCCTTTCCCCAAGTCCAGAAGCAATTCTCCCCAGGCCTTGGCGAACTCCGTCACCTGTTCCTTCAAGCTCTCCTCCGGCTTCTTCGCATCCGCCTCCGCCGCTTCGGCGGTGACCGGAGCAGGAGCAACATTGTACTCTCCGGCGCCGACAGCGTACTCCGACGCGTTCGGATCAAACGCCATCTCCGCGTAGCGCATCCCGGAGTCCTCCATTAGAGTCGCTAGATCGTCGTGCCACGTGGCATGACCTCCTCTCACCTCCGCCATCGCGTGTGAAAATCTCTGGAACCGGTCCACACTGAGTGAGATTCTCAGTTAGTCTGCTGAAAAGCAACGAGAGAGGGTGTGTGTGAGAGAGAGAGAAAGAAGGAGAGAGAGTTCGAGGAAGAAGACTGTCACTTTACAGTCGCGAGTTTCAAGCCTTACATTGCTGAATAAAGAAATTCAAAACCCTAACCGACCATTGCCAACCTTTTTTTCCCCCTTTTGTTGCCGAATTCGAATCCATATCTGTTTGGAAGAGGAAAAAATAAAGGCAAAAGGAACGGTGCTAACTGGTGAGATTAATGACTCTGGCTATGGCGTCCAACTGTCGCAATCTTTTTTTTTCGGATTTCAAAAGAATCGTAGAACCCACATGGCAATGGCATAGAACGAAGGATCCAAAAACAATGCGCACTCTCTCGGCCTCATCATCATCATCATCAACTTCTTCTCTACCTGTGCCACCATTTTTGCGATTTCTTTATAAACCTTTGCTGGCCTACTTGACTGGCGGTTTTTCCTTCTTCCTGTGCGCGGAGAACGGTTGGCCGTCCGATGAAAGCCGACGGTTGGGATGCAGACCACGTTCTTCAACCGGTGCGGACACCTATAATAATTAGCGGGCAGCGGTGGCAGCGTACGGCGCTGGCTGCTGGTTTTGGTTGTCAGTCAGTAGGATATATCAATCAGCTGGATGCATGTGCACGGGAATGTCGTTTCCTGCTATTGCTTTTCTTATCTCAGCCGCTGAGTCATGTTTGATGCTCCCGATGTCGATACATGGAATTAGGTGAAGAACGAAAATAAGAGATTGCAGATTTGGCAAGAGGGCATTAGAGGTTTATACTCTATTTAGCGGGTTGTTGGGCTTTGGAGTGTAGAACAAGACGTTTTACTGACTACTTTACTGGCGGATTCGGGGGCTCATTTGTTGAAGCTGCTAATGGGGTGTCCGTCAGGATTAGTGGTATCTTGGGTGGAGGCTTTACGGGCTTTTGAGCTGAACTGAGGCCAGATTTACAAGGGTTTGTTGCTCTGCTTCAATTTTTCAGCATGATTAGTTCATGATTTTGATCTTTTTAAGGGGAAGAAATCATGATATTTCCCATGTCGTTCAGGTATTATAAGGCAGCCCATATCGTGGCAAGAAAGCCCTATTTTGTCAGACCTGCAAAGGTCTTTTCATTTTTCATTTGTGATTTGACCTGCAAAGGAAATGTATATTGTTATATACTTCGTATCTGTTGTTCTCCTTTGGGGATATCTATGACACAAAAAAAAAAAAAAGAGATTGCAGATTTGGTAAGTTCGTCAAATATGATAATCTCAATCGTCGTCGTTGAATCAAAGCAATCTCCAGATGAAGACAAATCATATTAAAGCACAACGATTAGTACTTCGCGGTCCTTTATATAGATGTTTTGTCTGGATTAAGAATGTAATTTTGTAATAGTGAGGTATAGGTCATATTACAAGAAGGGATTGACATATTCAGAGGGAGAGGTTCTGAATTGTCAAGGTTCGATGTGATATGGGTTTTGGCTATCTCTATGTTGTTTCTTTTCATTTTTTTTTACGCTTGATAGGACGAGGATTGACCAGTAGTTTGGGAACCTTGTTAAAATCGCATGTGTCGATCTCTTTTTTGCCTTCCTTCTTTTTCTTTCCAGCGCTTTACTCTGTTTTCTTTGCTCGTTCTATGTTTTTCTCGTCTGGTTCGGTAGAAACGGGAGAAGACAACATATTAGGCAACACTGAATGGGCTCTCTTTATGTCTATGTACTAAATCCAACTTCGACGTAAAGTGTAGCCCCTTCTCTTTTCCAACTGAACGTGTTTTTGGACTCAAGCTTACAAAGACCCATAAATCTGCAGCATGAAGACGAGATAATATGTTAGATTCTCATCGTCTTCTTCTTCTAGTTGTTTCCCTTTTCCTTCTTTCCCTCTGCTCTCGTTTTTTTTTCCAGAAAAAACCCCTAAAATCTTAAATCGATTTCAATTTGTATTAGAGCTCCCCCTTGAAGGAGCTCAATATTGCCAAGGGAGATCCGGTTATATGGCGTCTACCAGCTTTGGACATGATTCCTACAATCATCACCTGATCTTCACGGGTTCTAATAACATAGCATGGAAGAAAAGGATGAAAACTTTCCTCCGGGGTGTCGATGAAGAACTCTGGACTGTTGTTCATGAAGGACTTGTGGTGGTGAATGTTGATGCTCAACATCTCTGGTCGGCGGTTCAGAAGAAAAGTGCACATCTCAATCAACGAGCTATGCACACTCTTGAGTCCGCCATGACTCCTAATGAGACGAACACGGTGGAGAATTGTGAAACCGCCTGAGATATTTGGAGATCGCTTGAAACTACACATGAAGGGGCCTCTAATGTCAAGGAGACCCGCATCGACCACCTCGTTCATGACTATGAAGATTTCTAGATGTTGGCAGGCAGTGAGAGAATATACAACACACACACTCCATATTTACTATTTTGATTAACAACTCAAGGAATTAGGAAAGACTTACTAAAGATTTAAGTACAAAAGGTTCGTGCCAGTGATTGCCCAAATGCACAGCGATAGAAGCAGCTCGTTATTTAAATACTCTCCCGTTATGTTCCTTTCGATTTTTCAGAAATGGTGTCCCTTAGCTCAACTCAGGAAACATCTCGCGACCAAAATAGTGTTGAACACACTCCTGAGATAACCGAAAATCCAGAGAAAACACCTTCCACAGAAGCAGTCCGCACCAAACAAACTCCAGGGCATATTCAGAAGAGACATCATGAAAGTCAGATCAATGGAGACATTTATGATGGCCTTCGGTTCGATGGTTATGGGAAAAGCCAAAATCGAGTTAAACCAATCAAAACCTCGTTAAAATTGGGTGGTCTGACCAGTCAAAACCGATTTTGGAGATGAGGATTGATATTTTTTAATATATATTTCTTTTGAAGAAATAATTTATTAATCTATGAATCTAGATTAGTGAGATTGTTTTAAAATATGTCAAATATATGCATAATTTATGTGATATTAGAGTTTTTCTCATATATTATTATATATTAAAACCGATTTGAACTAGTTAAACTTGATCCGATCATTAAACCTCGAATCACTTGCCAAACTGACTTGATGGGTTAATCCGGTTCCGGTTTGACAACCTTGCAGGCTTGCACAACGCCCTACTATGCACCGCGAAGTCCTTTTGGGCTCAGTAGGGTGCAGCCGCGGCCCGCTCTATTCCCCGGCAGGCCCATCAGACCCTCTGAAGAGACAAAGGCCACAGCAATGGCTGTTTCGCTCTTCTTGCGCGCGGCTGGAGGATACACGGTCACACCTACTTCTCCACAAAACCGAGCTTCAAACAGCCAGCCGTCGACGGCCTTTTCACTCGGCTGAATAGAACGGCGATTTCGCCTTACAAATTTCTTCATCGATTGATTTCCACTTCCAAGGTATTACTCGAACAGGTTACGAGTGTCTTCCCCCTTTTTTTTTTGCTTGTTTTTCTTCGCCGACGAACCAGTGAAGAACCAATCATTCTGACTGCGTCGTCATGGTTTTGATAGAATGGCTGCCGAGGATTCAAGAAAACGCGCAATGGACGCGTTGGAGAGAAGGTTTGCTGTCGCTGAAGCTGAGGTGCTGCAACAACAGAAGAGCAGCGAAAAGAGGCCGCGATTAGAAGGAAGCAAAAGAGAAGGCAAAGGTTCTGCAGCCGCCGATGCTCGGAAAGGTACTCTGTCACCTTCAGCAATTGAAACCTCAAGAAGCTGCTCTTTATTCGTTCTTTTTCTGATGTCTTTTGTTTTTCTTCATTTTGTTGTGGCAGGGAATTTCTTTTCTTCAAGTTACTTCTCTGCTCGAGGTATGAACTTATGTGATTTGTATTACTCATCTCTTTTTGGGAACTCCTGTTAACTGTTGAAATTGAATACTCAATCAGATATGGAAGATAGTGGTTTGACATATTCGGAAATCTCTCATCCTGTACATGATAATTTGTTAACCACCAACGCCGAGGTGCTTAGCTCAAAACCCCTCTTTCAGAGTTCACCATTCTGTTTGCTCTTTGTACGTAACTCGAACATTTGCTTCATATCCTGCTGCAGGTTCAGACTAAGAGAGGTGGGAACGCAGTGGATAAGATTTTGCACGATCTTTTCCAACATGGGGATTCTGCGCAAAAGTATATGCAGGGCTCCAGAAGTAAAAGAATTGATAGTTGGATACTGCTGGATAATTATGTGCAAGGGCGCGGGAAATCCAAGTCTTCTCGTGCTGAAGTCCTGCAATCGCAGGCAAAGCGCTCTAAGACGCACATGTCCATGAGGCAACATAAGAAGTGTGGATCTCTGGAGCTGCCTGAACATCTACAGAAGTAAGTTCCAGTTCTTCATTGGAAACCTTTTTTCTCAATTGAAGAATTTTTTGTTAATCTGATGGATTGATTTTTGGTTGCAGATTTGATGTCTTTAAGCCAATGCATGAGATGTGGAAAGGATATATGTCGCAGCTACTCAAGACCACTGGGTAATATATTCACCGTGTTTTCAAAATTTCATACTACACATCTTTATGATAACAGTTTTTAGGTAGATTATTTGACTTTATATTGATCCTACTTGCAGGGGAAATCAGTTGGCTCAGTGTCTTCTTAGTGCAGACCTTCACGGTGCCATTATTGCAGGTATGTAGTTGAGATTATCATGTTTGACCACCTTAAGTAACCTAGGGACACTGAACTTTGATGCTTTGAAACTCAGTAACGAAATAAACTTGTTTCTTGTATTGCAGAACCTGTTTTTTTGTCTGTGAGTAGTTCCAAAAATTGAGAAAGCCGTCATATGCATGATAATCCTCAATGACCTAAGCCTCTGCCCATGTCTATTCTACCAAGGCTGACGATAGCTGATCCTACACTTATGATTTTAGCTTGGTCATTGGCCTAATCTACCAACATTTCCATAGGTTTCATGACTTGAACCACATGTTTAGGGAGAACTTCTTTTGGAACTAGTCAACGTAAAATTAAGTTAGACGGCAGAAACAAATTGTTCTCTTCTTTCCCACACACAAAAAAAATGTTTTTCTCTTTCAAATCTTTTGTGCAAACATTCTCATCTTTCTGTCTACCGTTCTGCAGTTGCCCAGTGTAAGATATCATCTTTGACTGGAGTAAGTGGTATTATGATCCGTGAAACTGCAGAGACATTCGGGATAATTACACAAGATAACAAGTTTAGAGGTAACTTGTTTATGTGTACCGATTGTAAATTGAACCATGTCATAATGAACATACATCTTGTAAGCTGAGGATGGTAACTGCATCTGAACTCTGAAGTAAAGTCCTAATAT